GAGAGGGAGAGAGAGAGGGAGAGAGACAGGGAGAGAGACAGGGAGAGAGACAGGGAGAGAGACAGGGAGAGACAGGGAGAGAGAATCTCAAGCAGGCTTCCCGCTGTCAGTGTAGAATCCAACTCAGGGCTCAATCCCATGAACCATGAGATCATGACCTGAGCTGAAATCAAGGGTCAGACACTTAACTGACTGAGCCACACAGGTGCCCGTCTTTTTTTTTTTCTTTTTTGAGAAAATATTTTTATAATATGGAAATTTATTACGTTTGTGGTAACAGAATAACTGAAACTCAGCAAACCAAACAGCCTTTGTAACACATCATCAGCCTGATTTGCTTCAAGACAAATCTTTGTCCACTGCCATTTCTTGAAGGCAGCTTCAAATTAATGACACAGTTGCCCAACTAATTCACTACCCAAAAATGCAGGCGTGGCATATCTGCAGAACATATACTCTCACTTCCTCCTTGCATCTGGGAAGGAAAAGGAGGCCAAATCCAAAACCCACAGAGGATATTTTCAATGCTCGGGAGGGGGGATGTTGTGGAGAGGGACGGTGCTAACTCGCCTAACACAGCTCTCTCACCTAGTTTTGATGTGCACAGACTCCTCGTGAGGTATTTCTGGGGCAGGTGGTAAGAGCTCTGGTTTTCAGAGAAGAAAACTCAAGTTGGAAGAATCTATAAGACACAGTCTAATGAAGGGCCAGGAAGAGTGGAGGCACCCACCTCTTTTTACTTACAGTAAAGAAGATTCAAGGGGCTGTTTTGTTTCGTTTTGTTTTGGAGGGGGAAGCCTATTTGCTTAATCTATATTATTTTAATGGACAAATCTATTAATAATCTTAATAAACGTACTGAGATAAAATTGACACATGGTATACTACACATACTTAAAAGGTGCACTCTGGGGCACCCAGGTGGCTCAGTCAGTTGTGCGACTGACTTTGGCTCAGGTCATGATCTCATGGTTCCTTAGTGCGAGCCCTGCATCAGGCTCGCTGCTCTCAGCAGGGAGCCTGCTTTGGGTCCTCTGTCTCCCTCTCTCTCCGCCCATCACCTGCACGCACACATGTACTCTCTCTCTTATCAACCCCAAAGGCTTCTTGTGTCCCTCTGTTTTCTTTCCACACAGTCTGTCACCTCTCCAGCCCAGCAGCCACTACCTGATCTTTCTCTATTAGTATTCATGAAAAATCAGTTTTGTAGCATTTTATGTAAATGGACTCATAGGGTATACACTCCTTTAGGTCTGACCGCTTTTATCCATACTGTAGACGGATCAATAGTATACTGCTCTTTACTGCTGAGTCGATTCCATGGATTCCATGTTTTGCAGCTTGCCCCCATGAGGCCACGGGTCAAAAGCGGGAGATGGAAAGGCTGGACAGGAGAGAAAGGCCTTGCTTTTTCTTTTTGCTTCCTACACATTGGTAGCACCAGTTTCTTTTCTTTTTTATTTTAATATTTTATTTATTTCTGAGAGAGAGCGCCCCTGTAGCACCAGTTTCTAACCCTGAAAGAGTTTAAAACATCAGCACTCTTAACCAAAGAGCTAATACCTTAAATCTCATGATTCACTCCAAGCATTTATTATGGCTGCTTCAAGAAAAAGAAAGGTAAGTGGTACAAAAATTAAGAAGGAAGAAATGTGTTGCTTGTTTCCTGTAGCCTAGATAAAGAGATGCTTAGGCTGAAAGCAGAGAGGGGAGAAAACAGGTCTTCGATATGAGACACCCTCTCCACATCTGTAACCCAAAAAAGCTCCAAGTTCAGTAACGTGGACTCCTGTACGGTTAAAACACCAACCACCCAACCAACAAGACACATCGTGGAAGCGGAGCTAAGGTTTGTGAAAACAGAGGCTGTCAAGTTAGAGATTACCCAGGAGAGGGGAATGGAGCCTGGAAGGCACCTAACCCCACCCCCACAAGGGTCCTTTCCCAAGCCCCTCCCTCTAACGGGCATACTCCTGCGCAACAAAGATGACAATACAAGCCCTTGTGAAAATGCAATTACGATGTGGCATAAAGAGAAGGAACAAGGGGCCAAGACAGGGCAGGGGCCAGGCTCCGACAGGGGGACCAGGCAAGGCCTCTGCCTGTGACTACTGCAATAGAATCGGCCATAAACCAACTTGCAGTCCACTTAGTTTTAAGGGAGTTGATTTGCCAAAAAAACCCACAAAAACCTGCTAAAGGTCTCTAAGTCGATGGTTTTTAAACTAGAAAGCGCACGCCATGCTCTGGGAGGTAGTGTGGAAGGACATATCGCTGGAGCGCCTATTCTGAGTCCTTAGGTCTGGAGGGAGAGCCCATAATTTGCCTGAGACCACACTGAGAAACACAGCTCTGAGCCAACCTGAGGTCCCTCCCTCCCAATCCCGCATGCGAGGCGCGAGAGTTAGTAAAGTTGCAGTTTCCACATGGTCGTTCAGTCCTTCTCAGAGGCCACCTCTGATATGCCATGGGAGACGGGGGAAAAGGAAACACTCTCAGAGATAAAATTCACTAAGAAATTAACCTCCTCCCAGTAACAGGGGCACGCAACTCTGCTGGACTAGGAAAGAGCGGTCACTGATCACTGTGCGTACTTTTCCAGTATCCTCCTTTGAAAATGGGAACGTTTACTGCAATCACCCTGCTCTGGCTTGAGCACTACGGACGGCCACATCATTCCTTAGCCACAGGCTGCAAGACCACAATGTGCTCCCTCAGATTTGAGAAAGAAGACTGTACATCACTAAAGATCCTGCCCTTGGAACTAGATGAGACTTTGAAATGTCCTTCTTTGGGGAGGCAGTGAGAGTGTTTCATTTAAGGGCAAATTTTCATTAAGAACACACATAAGAGGAAGAACGTGTATGGATGTTTGGGAGTGGATAGCGTGAACCAGGACACGCTGTTAGATCCATGCCCTGGACTTAGTCCCATTCCACTTGCTAAAACAATACTGGTTTTGCTCATAACTGATTTCTCTCTCATGTCATCCTCATTTCTCATATCAAGAGGAACTCGCTATATCTTCATTTCTACAGTATTCTAGGACATGATTAATCAAAGAGAAGTAAGTCCCTTTCCTCCTATAATACATGGTTAGTCCAAGAACGCAGACCTAAGCCAATCAGTGCACAGCTTTCTCATGGAACCTAGAATTAGTTCATACTTGTACAAAGATAAAATTCAATGAAATGCACTGAGAGTCTGGGGAAAACATTGTTTTGCTCTTAATATATTACCCCCTCCTTTTAGAGATTATGAACTAAAGACCACTGGACCCTAAGGCTAAAGCCAGAGGAAGGTAAGAAATGAGGACCAAATGATTCAGCTAATTAACTTGAAGAAGCCAGGTTTCTAACAAGAAAACACCAGGTTTTCTAAAATGTTAATTTAAAACTTCAGTAATGGTTGTTCTCAACCTCTTCTCCTGCCCAAAGACAGTGTTGAGGAGATTTGCCCCCATCGTAATGCCAAGAATGATCCTGAATGGGAGGAGAGGAGAGGAGAGGTGATGTGGGTGTCAGACCATCACTTCATCTGGGAGGGGCAACTTCTTTTATTGCAGCCTTACTATGTTAGAGTTATATGCAATTTTCTGTGGTTTGTATTGGATTTTTTAAATGTTTCTTTTATTTATTTTTGGAGGGGAGGGGCAGAGAGAGACAGAGATTGAGAGAGAGAATTGCAAGCAGGCTCCACACTGTCAAAGAGCAGAGCCTGATGTGGGGTCCCAAACTCATGAACTGTGAGACCACGACCTGAGTCAAAGTCAAGAGTCAGACACTTTATCGACTGAGCCACCCAGGTGGTCCAGTTTGGGATTTTTAAATTTGGTCCCTAAAGACAGGACTCTAAAACTCATTAAAAAAAAAAAAAAAAAAAAAATCCTTGTGCTCACTCCAGTAGCACATACACTAAAATTGGAAAGATACAGAGAAGATTAACATGGCCTCTGCTCCCAGATGATACGCAAATTCATTAAGTGTTCCATATTTAAGGAAGAAGGAAGAAAGGGAGGGAGGGAGGGAGAAAGGGAGGGAAAGAAAAAGAAAGAATGAGAGAGAGGAAGGAAGGAAGATCAATCCTTTATGGCACAAATTCTCTGCCTTAATAGAACAGAACGAAGAGAATCTTAAATAGTAGCTCATATTATTGTGTTCAACTTCATGTAATTTTTAAGTGTTATGGGGATCTAGGACAAAAGATAATGTTGGACTTTTGTCATTGGGTTTATTTATTTAAAGGAAATGAAAAACAAGTCATATTTCTACTATTTATTTTTGCTAGTCATCATTCTAAAGTTAGGTGAAGAAATTGAAGTTATGATAATATCACTGGTTGATAATAATCCATTTTAAACAAACAACAAACCTATTTTAAAAATATATTTACATAAAGAAACCCATTATCATATTCTAGCCTCTCCAAGTATAAAATGTACACAGTAGAGTCTATTGGCCTACAAGCAAAATCTCTCTGTCCAGGTAAGAAATCAAAATTATTAATGCCAATCAGCTACCATACTCTCAGTACAGAATTTAAAGCTACTTTTTGTGTTTTGTCATCTCAATCTTCTTCTGAGCCTGAGAAAGAATACGGTTTTCTAAGACTATTTGAACACAAGACTCTACCTAATGCTATGGTTACCTATTTTGGTGTTTGAACCCATGTAACTAAACTTGAAGGATAATTCCTTCCATTTCATCTACCCACAGAAGTTTTAGTGGAATGAGGAAATAAGTCAATAGGCCTAATATAACTAATATCTATCCCACACTCTTCATTGTATTAAGTATGAAACAATTAAAGTGAATCTGTTAAGGACTAAATACAAAAAGTACACTTTGAGATTCTGATGAACTCTTATGAATGATTCTTAAAAAAAAAAAAAATACACATACATACCACAAGATTCTACAGACAATGGGAGTAAGTATAAAATGGTGTGGCCACTGTGGACAACGGTATGCCAGTTCCTCAAAATATTAAACACGGGATTACTATGTGATCTAACAATTCCAATTCCAAATATACACATTAAAAAAATGAAAGTAGGGACATAAACAGATATTTGCACACCAATGTTTATAGCAGTATTATTCATGATAGCCAAAAGGCAGAACAACCCAATTGCCCATCAACAGGAGAATACATAAATAGAATGTGGTACACAGATACAATGGACTGTTACTCAGCCTTAAAAAATGAAATTCTGGGGGCGCCTGGGTGGCTCAGTCAATTAAGCGTTCAACTTCGGCTCACGTCATGATCTCGAGGTCTGTGAGTTCGAGCCCCGCGTCAGGCTCTGTGCTGACAGCTCAGAGCTTGGAGCCTCCTTCAGATTCTGCCCCTTTCTCCTTTTCTCTGCCCCTCCCTCACTTGCACTCTCTCTCACAAAAATAAACAAACATTTTTAAAAAATGAAATTCTGATACATCATGGATAAACCAGCAGGACACGTTACCTGACTCCACTTACATAAGGTGCTTAGAAGTCAAGTTCATAAAGACAGGTGAATAGTGGTTGCCCCGGCAGGTGGGAATAGGGATTACTGTTTAATGGACACACGGTTTCAGGACGGGATGATAAAAAAGTTCTGGAGGAGGACAGTGCTGATGGCTGCACAAAAATATGAATGTAGTTAATGCCACTGAAGGCAACACTTAAAAGTAGTTAAAATGGTTAATTTTATGTGATGTATATTTTACTACCATAAAAACAAAAACAAAAACAAAAGAGTAAAACACTGGTTAAAGACAACAAGGCATTATAAAAGCTTCAAAAAAAAAAGTTCTATAAATAATTTCAAGAGTTCACAGATCACTTAAAGATCCAAAATGAATCCCAAGTCATAAACTCCTGCTAAAGTTCAACACAAATAGAATGAAACAGGCACTGTGGTACTTTTTATAGACCTCAGCTTTCTGTGATCCCTGTAATACTTGCCAACAAAATCCCATGCCTAAAATATAATAAAAGTATTAAAACAGCAGCAGTGTTTCTCGTCCTCTGAAGTTGTGTTTCCCACACTAAAATAGAGCAACAGCAGTTCCACACTGGTTGTTTGTATTTCATCACTGTTCTCAGACAGAACAAGAGGTCTGCTGCCTACACACCATTCCTCCGCATCAACACCCATTTTCTTATGCAATTGTAAGTTCTGTTGGCAGGTTAAACACATATTTTTCCAACCACAAACAAAAACTTCTTTTGATACTCTATGTGAATGTTCAAGGAAATGTTCCCAATTAAAAAAAAAAAAGTATTTAAAGCAATAATATGGAAGTGTGTCCACAGTCAAAAAAACTTAAGTTCTAGATAGAAGGCATGTAAAGATGAGGTGGCTACTTTGTTGAACATCACCTGTCTTTATTTTTTCAATCAGGAACTTAGGAAACGGTAAAAGAGCACAATGCTGAAAAATAGGCAGAACCACATCATTGAGTCTTCCATATAACGTCATGGACAGTCTTTTTTTTTTTTTTTTTTTTTTTTTTAAGTTTATTTTTATGTTTTAAAACATTACTTTGCAACAAGTCCTTGCTAATGGAGTGTTCCACTTGAAGTGTTCATTCCTTAAGAGTTAGAGATAAAAAGTGGCTTTCTACTGGAAATTTTTAGTTTTAAAAAACCTTAATTCGTAGTACATAATTTTAATGTATGGTAAGTAAACTTTTGTTGTTATTAACAAACCTTTGTCAAACTAGATGATCCTAAAGGTGACCAGTGATAGCTAAGGATTCTGTGTAGCTACGAGGCAGAGACAGGAACTGTTCACATATATGCTTTATGTTTAGTAATTAAGTGAATCTTGAAAACAACCTTGTGAGTAGGGACTCCTATTATTCCTTATTTTCAAAGACATAACTAAGGCCTGGAGAGACCCAGTTGTTCGACAAATATCACAAACACCATGGAGGCAGTGAGGTGGTAGAGATAATACATAAATCCTACAGAGTCCGGCTCTGCTATCCATTCTAACTGTCACACACGGCACCTGTCGTAATAGATGGAGAAAAAAAAGATGATTTTCATAATACTGAGCAAGTTATTCAATAATGTAATATAAAGTATTTCAGTCTTTTTTTGATCATAGGTTTGTTTGCTTTCTTAACAAAACCCTAACTACTGCATTAGAGAGTGTCACTCACAGGATTAAACACACTGGTGAAATCCAGATATTTGGTGCTGTCCCTGACCAATATGGAAGGAAGGAAGTCACAGAGACCAAGGCCTAACTCTTTATTTTTCATCTTTTTCTAACTTTGCAATCAATGTACAAGCACAAAAACAAAGTTAGTGCCAAGAGGATTGGTAGTTCACTTGATCAAGAAATAATTTTATCAACCTATAAAGTGTAGATGACTAACCAAACTTTTATAAACAGACGTGCAGTTGAAATTTTTAATATATTAGCTTCGTTGAAGTATAGGTAAGTTGTCCAAAATAATTAGAGATTTGGAGGAAGGACTTGGTTCATGATAAGTATGACTCACATGTGTCTCACAGCAAAACAAAAACCACCAGACATTTATCTCTTAAAAACAAAAGACACTGAGTCTGGCACCAGCCTGCCAAGCAAGAAATACCATGTGCAAGTCAGACACTCGTGTGCCGTTTAAAAATAAAAGAGATAGGCATGTGATGAGTGATGACTCCTAAGCCTGACCTTCTCCGAAATACACAATTCCATTTATAACTTCCCCCAAACATCAAAACACCTGAAAATAGCAAGTTCACAAAAGAGGCAAGAGAGAAAAACAAAAAGGAAGTTTTATAAGTCAGAGGATAAAGTATCTTACAGGAATAGCTTTTTGTCACACTGACCGTATTCATCCAGCAGGTTCCCCTCCTCCGTATACAATTTCCATGAACTCAAGAAGGCCAACATCTCTGTCCTCCAGTTGACTAGCTTGAGTCCACTGGTCTAGAGGATTGGCTTCCACTTGGAAAAATTCTTACTCAAAACTCAGGTTTCTATGTTGAAGGAGAAAGACTGCAGGTAAGACTGAAAGTACTACACCTACTTGCACATGGATTCTGGTGGGAGAGGACATTACCTAATTACATGTATCAAGAACACCTCTTCCAGCACCAAATTCAGGTTGATCTCTGGGTAAAAAACAAAGTAATATCCCCAAAATGTAATGTACTGATCTTCCATAAATGATCTTTAAAAAACAGAATGGAGAAGGGATGTAAATCCAACAAAGAAACCTCACAGACTGCAAAGGAGCAGGCGGCCCTGTCTGTAGCCAGCCTGCCCATATTTGCCATTTGGCAATCCTTTCATTAAGTCACAACTAATAACCAACTTGGGTTATCAGTAAACTGGAACCATCTAAAAATTCATTAATTAGCCTTGAATTGTCAGCAACAGTTTTTAAAATATTTGCAGTAAATACAGCCTGTCATTAAAGGATATGTGTTCACGTCACAAGTACTGCCAAGAAGAATCAAGCCATACTTTACAAGTTCATGAAAGTGGCTCACGGGGTATGTCACCAAGCACTACTACTTACAACTGAAGTACCAAAACCAGAAAAACAAACATACAACCCCATCAGAGGTGCCTAAGCATGGACCCTCTATTTCTGTATGTATCTGGTCTTAGACTAGTAACCGCTCCTTCACCAGGCAGCACGGATTGACAGTTCTACATCCGCCGACCTACCTCGTCACCTAGAGGCCATGAGAGCCCGGCAGTCTCAGCAGAACCCGGCCTCATTAAGCCCAACTCAAACTTAGCATCCTGCCTGTTAAGGGACAAAGTCAGGACACACTTACTGAGAACATAAAAGAGGTGTGGAGAAGACAAAGTGATTAAGCTACAACAGCACACCAGAAAACGCTCCAGCAGAGAATGGCGAGGAATGAAGGCGAAGCAGGATGAACCAAAAGAGGGGTGACTAGGAAGCTAAGGAAATGAGATTAAAGGTGGAAGAAGGAATCGAAAATATCATATTCAATCAAGAGGTCAAGACCTGATCCGTGCTG